TGCGTCTCGGCCCCACATAATAAAGAACTTGAAGAGGTTTCGTCGGAAACTTTGAAGACAGAAAATCTACCCACTCTGTTTTCCAGACATCTCAAGGGGGTGAGAGGTCACCGGAGCGTGGGGCCCCTCGGCGAGGCGGGGGCCCAGGACTGCGTGTCTCCACAGCCCTTTGTGGGGCCCGTCCGTCCCCGCCCCGGCCCAGGCGGGGGAGCATGGGCGGAAGCTCCATCCGGGGCTGCGGCCGCCCCCCTGCCTCAGAGCACACGTCTCCCCCCTGCAGCCTGCCCCCTGCGGCCCACCCGCTTGGCTGTGTGGTCCCCCCACGGCGTGTCCCCACATTCAGCCACTTACGCGTCAAGGCTGCGAGGCGCAGGGTCGGGCTCACGCACAGGTTCCTGGTGGCGGCTTGAGCTGGAAGAAGACATGGGGTCAGCGAGAAGGACACACGCCCACTAGTTAGGGCCCTGGGTGCTGCAAACAAGGACCCCCACCCCACTTTATTTCTTCTCTCCACATCTCTTCATTAAAGCACTGAGGTTCGCGGTTACTCCCAGTTGCGTTTTAGATGTATGCTATGGCCACGCCACGCTGCCACCAGTGTCCACCTCTCGCCATGTCCCCAGGGTCCCTCCCATGACACCCCCACCCCCCACCTGCCCTCCTGACAAGCACCTTTCTTTCTTATTTCCTTTTGCTTTTTGGGTCACACCCGGCCATTCACAGGGGTGACTCCTGGCTCTGCACGCAGGAAGTCGCTCCTGGCGGGGCTCTGGGGACCCCATGGGATGCCGGGATTGAACCTGGGTGGGCAGCGGCATGCAAGGCAAACACCCTCCCCGCTGTGCTATCACTCTGGCCCCAGGCACCTTTCAAAGTTTGGTTGTTCAAGAGCCCCTACTTCTATCAGGGACCCCCACACATCTAGCCCCTAGCAAGTATGGGGTCAATCTGGACCCAAGAGGCAGAAGTGGGCCCCCACAACCAGCTTCTTGGCCCCAGCCTTGGGGCTGCTCAGCGGGACTGACCCAGCACACTCCCGGGCCCCAACTCTACACCTACGGTGGGTCGGGGTCTGTGAAGACCCCCCAGCCCCTTGTGACATCCAACACCTCCTCCCCAAGGTCCCAGTGACAAGACCCTCCAGCAGCTCCAGGGGGCACCAGGGAGAGCCTCAGGGGTGTCTGCACCTGTTCAGGCCACGCCCCCTCCTGTCCCACTGACCCATGACATCCTGGCCACTTACCCCTGCTCAGCCACTAACTCTTCAATGTGGTCATGTCAGACTTCAATGCAAATGAGAAAACTGAGGCATATTACTACTACTACTACTACTACTTCTATTACTACCAAATACCACTGTGCCAGTGGACTTCGAGTCTTTGGACAAATGCCTTGAAAGTCAGTCTTCAGGGAGGGGGTTTCCCTGGCACGCAGCCCACCCGGGTTTGATCCAATCACCACTAGCTGTCAATCCTGAGTGCAGAGCCAGGAGTATCCCCTGAGCATCACTGGGTATAGCAAAATAAATATATAAATATAAAGTCTTTAAATCCATATAAAAATTGACATAATATATGGCCATCAATAATGAATATAAATAAATATATAAAAATAAATATCAATAGTAGTGTTTAAGTCACACGTAGGAAACACGGTCTCTGGCCCACTGGTCCTAGGCAGACGTGAGACGTGCGTGGCAGGGAAATGGGGGTGTTAATACTGGGGTTCTCTGTAATCCTCCTGCTCACTTTTCCTCTGGACCTGAAGAGTCTCTGAGTATTTGGGGAACTGAGTTGATTTTGAGCGCGCTCATTAGTCGAGCAGAAGAAAGGCAGTGTAGCCTCGCTGGGGGGCTGAGGAGGAGCAAGGAAGCTCCCAGGGGACCCCAAGAATGGAAGCTACCCTCTCCCACCCTGAGCTTACATTTCAGGACCCCTCCTGGGGGGCACCACGGCCTGGCAGGGGCTACTCAAAGGGGACACGCCTCTTTGCTTCCAAGTCATACCCCCTCCTCAAAATCTGAGAGACAGGACAGCGGGAAGGGCACTGGCCTGACATGTGTCCACCTGGGCTCAATCTCCGGCACCCCACGGGGTCCCCCAAGCCCACCGGAAGCGATCCCTGAGTGCAGAGCCAGGACGTCAGCCCTGAGCACCACCAAGTATGGCCTCAAAACACAACAACAACAACAAAACATCCTCTCTGCCCTTGAGCTGCAGGGGTGAGTGCCCAGGGCTCAAGAAGCCCTCTGGCTCTTGCAGGGACCTCGTGGGGGCCTGGCTTGGGGTCAGGGGTCATACAGAGGTCCAGTCTGTCAGGACACCCCAGAAACTTCCTCGTCCTAGCTCTCCACCAAAAAGCGTTTTCGGCCTCTCTGTTCTGGAAGCAAAGTGGGCATGGCTTTTTCCACACCCACCTCTGACCCCCGAGAAAGGTGGGGCAGCACACAGGGAGCCCGGGGTGGGGGGGGGGTGCTGTGGGGCGCAGCCCTGGAGCTGGGCCCCTCGAGCTCCCTCTACCTGTTGAGCAAAGACCCCCAGGAGCAGCCGTCCAACAAAAGCGAGCTGCCAGCAGAGCTAATCCCTGGCCCCAGCACTCAGGCCCATTGAGGGACGCAGGACACGTAATTGGCCCTCTTTTGAGCCGTCCCTCGAGCGGCCTCCGCCAGCCTTCTCATCTCCTCGGCGAGGAGGACCCGGCCCGTGGGCCTCTTCCTGGAAGTCCCCTGCGTTCCAGGAGCGAGCAATTAGAGGGAATTAGGGCCCATTAGGTGCGGGTTTACCGTTAATGGAGAGACCGGCTGGGCCGGGCTGGGGAAGGGCGGCCGGGGCCTAATTGAACTGGCAATTTCGCTATCCCTCATCCCGGCTGGCAGGGAACATCACGCCCAAGGTCGCAACACAAAAGCGGTCCGACCCCCCACCCCACCCCCGGGCACATGGCCGCAGGCGTGAGGGTGGGGACACGGGCTGAGAGGTCAGTGGCGCTGACCAGGCCTGCAGGTGGCACGGCCCTGAAACCTGCCACCTCCAGGGGGCCCCAGAGCCAGGGGACAAGTGGCCGGGGTCCTTGTTAACTGACCCTCAGTGCCCCGACCCCATCGCCCACGTCCACAAGCCCCTAACTAGAGCCCCGGGTCCCTGAGAGTGTAGAAGACTCTAGAAGACACTACACACCCGCCCCTGATGCAGAGACCTCTAGGGCAGCCAGGTGGAGCCCCGAGGTCCCTGAGTTGGCACCGCCCCATTTCACAGAAAGGGAAACTGAGGCCCAGGGACAAAGACACCCGTGGTCAGGCTGGGGCTCACTGTGGGAGCATAGAAAGAACATCCTTGGAGAACTCTTCTGACCCCTGGGGGTGTGGGACAGGGGTGCCCTCGCGCTCAGCCAGAAGCCAGGTGGGGGCTCAGTCTGGGGTCCTGACACCCTAAGTGCCGCTCCCTGTCACCCTTTAGAGCCCACTGGTCTGTAGAAGTGGGGAAGGGGAGGCCAGCCGTGACCAGAACCCCTCCCAGGCCCCCGCCCCCCAGCACACACTGTCTCTCCCCCCAGATCGCAAAGACCCCTCCTTGCAGCTCGAGAGCACAGTGGGGAGGGTCTGGCCTCGCTCGCGGCCCACCCAAGCTTCTATCCCAGCACCTCACACTGGGGGTCCTGAGCCCCGCTGAGAGTGACCCCTGAGCACAGAACCAGGAGTAAGCCCAGGAGACTGCCAAGTGTGACCCAAACACAGCAACAGAAAGACCCCTGGGTTGGGAACTGGCCCCAGTGTCTAGATGGGACACCCCCACCCCGGGCCAGCTCTCTGGACCCCCACCCAGCACTCTGGGCCAGCTCTCCTGTCCATCCCCCACTCCCAGTCTCTCAGCCCAGCAGGCATGCCTGTCTGCACCCCGAGGATGACCCTGAGGACGCGGCAGAGCCTGTCCTTACCCCCTCCCCTGGCCCCCACCCACGTCGGGTCCAGCTGGACCCTGGGCTCCAGCCCTCTGTGACCCAGAGCAGAGGGTTGCAGGGCGTGTGGGTGGTGCGGGCAGGTGGCTGCCCAGCGGGTCAGTGTGTGGCCCTGTCTGCTTAAGAGCCATGGCGGGGGGGGGGGGGGGGGTGACTGCTAGGAGACACACACACACACACACACACACGTGCGCGCGCACACACACACACACTCTCATCTCGGGAAGGTAATTGGGTTTTCTCCTTTTTATCCAAAGCAAAGCACCTTCTATTGAAAGAATGCACCCACCCTCCGATTACCCTCAGGTGGCGGGCGTGGGGGCCCCACATTCCTTTCTGCCTGCATCTTTGTCTCGGGCTCCCACGGGAGCCGTCAGCCTAAGCCCCAGCAAAGACCCTATTCACTGCCCGGCCAGGCCGCCAAAGGTGGTGGTCCCTCGCCCTCCTGCTGGATTGTCTTTTAAGCCCAAAGAAATTGGAAAGCAATTAGGGCTCTGTGCTGCTCTCTGCTCCTCTCCCTAATTAGGGCCTCTCTCACGAGCGGCCCCCCAAAGTTGGGGGCATCCATCCAGCCCGGCGCCCGTGAGGACAGAGAAAGAGAGAGAGAGAGAACTGGGGCAGGGTGGGGGCGGGGGTCCTCCTCCTTCTCCCTCCCACAATTCCGCCCGGCTGGGTGGCAGTTCAGCGTCCTCCTGGAAGGTTCCTCCCCGCGCCCCTCCACCCAGCTCCTCTCCCTCGCATGGAGGGGCCTCTCCTGAGGGTGGGAAAGGGGGCTGTCTGGCTGTCCGTCTGTCTGTCCCTCTCTCTCCCGCGGGAGGGGGCTGGGCTGGCCTACTGGAGTCCTGCTCCCAGCTCTCTGAATTCGGTCCTCTAATCAGAAGGTGCATCCCGCGGACAATGCCCGCCTCTGCGCTGGCCGCCGGCCGCCGCCCTCTCCCCCGGCCCTTGATATCCAGGGGCCCCTCCACGCCCCCTTCTTCTGTGTGAAGCCGCTTCCTCTTTTCAGGGAAAGATTCATTAGCAAGCTCACTACAGACACACAGGCGTTCCTTCTGTTTCTAGAAGTGAGACCGCTCATAAAAAACACATTTAAGCGGCTTGGCGTCCGTGAATGAAAGGGGCACAGCCCTCCCGGGCCAGGCCTGACGCTGCGGGGCGAGGGGCAGGGAAGAGCCTGGAAACAGACGCACGCAGGGCCCGACCCACAACTGGGAATAACACGGCAGGGCCCGAGGCTGCCATCGGCCCCCCAGCTCTGGGGGGGGGGGGGTGGTCAGAGGGGCTTCAGGCGGGGTTCCCCTCACCCACGCCCGCCACAGCAGGAAACATGGCTCTGGGCTGCTGATGAACACGGTGACAAGTGACAGAGACACCCTCCCGGGACAGGCCCTCGGTGTCCTAGTGGCCCTGAGGGTCTCCCTGGCACCCCTCGAAGGCGGGGCCCGCAGAGGACCCCCCCATCAGCCTTCCAGGGCCTGCCCACCCTGTCACCCGCATTTCTGCATCTTTCAGCCCCCAGAGCCCCCCAGCCCCAGGCTCTGAAGACCCAAGCCCTGAGCCCTGAGATCTTTCTAGAAAAGGCAGCCATGGGAGCCGGGAGCTCCACTTCCTGCGGCTGTGAAGGCCCCCCGCCCGCCCGCCCGCCCACTCCCCTCTGTGCGGCCGCTGGGCAAATGCCAAGGCCTGAGTAAATATCACAGCCTGCGCGGGCCTCCCCGCTGAGCCCCGACACACACAGCCTGCGGGCCGGGGGGGCAGGGGGCTCCCCCAGAGCAAGGCGGGGCCCACCCCAGCCCACCTCGCCTGGGCCTCGCATCCTGCTTCCAGGGTTGGGGGGGAAGGCGGGTCCTGGGGGTGGCCGGCTGATGAGGCCCACCCCGGGGGAGGGGGTCTCTGCCTTTCCCAGAAGACCCTGGCAGCCCCTCATGACTCCTGGCTGGGTCCTGAGACAGGCTCAGTCACTGGGACCCCAGAAAGAGGGGGTCCTCTGCCCCATGCCCCGAGCCCACCCTGACTGGGGCTCCACCCACCACGCCCTGGGCCTTGCGGCCACATGGCTATGCCCAGGCCAGGGCCACCAGTGACGCCCGCAGACCCCTCCCCTCAGGTGGGCAAGGGCCCTCCGAGCACCCCCGACACCCCCCTGACTTTGGGGTCTCCTGCTGGCCGTGTCCGAGCACCTTGAGACGGGTCTCCTGTGGGCTGTATCTCGAGAGCAGTGCCTGGGTGCAGGAGGCAGGGTCCACGTCCAGGATGTCCGGGGTCCCCCGGCAGGGGTGCACCACTTACCGTGCCTGGCCTGGAGGTTCCAGGCCGCTGCCACGAGTCCACACTGCGGCGTGATGTGTGGTGTGGTGTGGTGTGGTGTGGTGTGGTGTGGTGTGGTGTGAGGCGTCGGCCCCGGGGGGCCGGAAAGACTCACCTGAAGAAGGAGCCAGATAGCAGCGGGGGGCTGGCGGGGGCATCTGCAGGCAGGTCGGGGTGCCGGGCTCTGTGGGTCCCACGGCGGGGTCCCGGCCTCTGTCTTCACGCCTTGTCCCAGCGCAGAGGACGGTCCCACCCTGGGGAGGGCTGCAGGTTAGAGTCCCGGCCAGCAATAGCAGCAGGCACCCCGGGGGTGACGCTGGCAACCACTCACCTGGGTCTGGGGGCTGCAATGCCAGCATCGGCCTCAGGGAGCTCCTGACCTACCGGGGGCAAACCCGTAAGAATCAGACAGTCTCGGGGACGGGGGTGATGGCGGGGTTGGGGGCCCCGCCTGGCTGTGCCAGGCTCCCTCGGGCTGGCTGGAGGGGGGGAGGGCCAGGGCAGGGGGCAGCAGGGGGGTGGGGGAGGGGAGAGGGGTGTGGCAGGCGGGGTGGGGGGCAGAGCTGGGCTCAGAGGAGCAGCCTGTTAGGGTGGACTGGGGTGGGCTGGGGTGGGGGGGCGGAGGTGAGTTAGCCCGGGAGGGGTCTGCATGCCGTGATACCGTGGGGGGCTGGGGGTGTCCAGGAGAGCCGAGCAGGGGCTGGAGGTTAGCTGGGCCATGTGGAGCCGTGCCACCCGCTTCACTGGAGGGCCCAGGCCTTCTGCCCTTCACACGGTGACAGGGACAGGACAGGCCAGTGAGGGGGCCAAGGGCGCCGCCTCGGGTGGGGGTCGGGGGCGGGGGGCAGAACGGAGGGAGGGGTCCAGTCTGAGACCCCGCTCAAGAGAGAGACCTGAATGGCCAGAGCCGCCTGTGGCCTTGCGACGACGTCCCTGTCCTCCTGGCATCCCCCCGTCCCCCGCCCGCACTCCAGAGCGGCCCTCGGCTAAGGAAGGAAGAGAGAGGGTGGGCGGGAGGCGCGGGCTGGCCCGCACAGGCAGGGCCCCGGTGGGGCCAGGAGCAGAGGCCGCCCACCTGGCCCACACCCCCCGTCCGCCGACGCGCGCCCCAGCACTCCTGGGACGCAGAGGCCGTCGAGGGGCAACTAGGGAAAGGGTGTCCAGCCCCTGCCGGACGTGGGCTTGGTCGGCAAGGATCGACTGTGGGCTTGCCGGGGTGGGCGCGCGAGTGCAGGAAGGGCTGAGACCTGGAGCCCAACAGGGCTCCTCGGAGGCCAGATTCACCACCCCCCCACCCTTTTGCCTCGACCGCCCGAACCCACTAACCGCTGCTCTGCGGCCCCGGTTCTTCCTGGACCCACCTATCCAAGCAGACATCCCACATACTCTTACTGAACCCCACTTTGTGTCAGGCTGGTGCTGGGACACCCAGAGAAAATGTGGACTGGCCTAAGGCACCCCCAGAGGGTTTGACTAGAAATGGTGCTGGGGGAGGGGGGGGGGAGGAGGAGGGGAGGGGAAGGGGGAGGGGAGGGGAAGGGGGAGGGGAGGGATGGGGGACGGGGGCGAGGGATGAGGGAAAGGCCAAGAGACAGCAGATGAGAAGGAGTGGGGGGCAGCGAGGAGCTCCTGGCCTCTGACCTCTAGTTTTCTGGCTGCAGGACCCCAGGGCTGGGGAGGGGCTTGGGGGTCCCAGTGGGGGGGCTGAGTGGCTTCTGGGTGGGCTCCAGGGTCTCCAGTCCAGAGCCCTGAGCACCCCGGGCACAGCAACTGATCTCCCATGGAGGGGGGCCCCTCCCCATTTTCAGCCAGTCACCTCAGGGGAACACCCCTGAGCCTCCTCTTCCAGCGGGGGGTGGTGGGGGGGGCAGCTCCCCCTATTGCCACCTGGGCTGGCTGGGCAGGTGTCTGGGCCGCCCAGGGTGGGACTGGAAAGGGCGGGGCTTCCTGCTGGGCCACGGGTGCCCCTCCAGCCCCCCCACTTCTGGCGCGCCCAGAGGGCCTGCGGTCTGCAGTGAGAGATGGGAGTCCCGCTGCGGCCGACCCTACTGCAGACCCGGGGTCCCGGGGCACCCAACCCCTGGCGAGCAGGGGAGCCAAGTGTGAGCCCCCAAGCAGTCTCGGGGGATCCCCGAATGCCTCTTTTTTGAACAGGGCCTGCTGTGGGGGTGCCCGGCCCCATGTCCTGGTCCCCGCATTTTGCTGTCACTGAGGGTGGGTGCCTGCAGAGGGAATCAGTCACCACAGACCCCTCATCCAGTCGCCGTCCCGGGGGGCCCACGGGGACCCGCAGGACACACTGCCCAGATGGGGGGGGGGGTGAGCTGCAGCAGGCCTGGTGGCCTGTCCAGGGGCACAGGTCACCTCATTATGCTAATCATCGAGCTTTTCTTGGGCGGACAAAGGAGCCTTCTGAGGGGCCCAGGCTCATTAGGCAGCACCATTAGCTGCTTCATTTAGGCCGAGCCCCTCAGCTGGGGGGCCGCTTCCTGGGGCCCCACTCCCCGGAAGCCTGCGCCCCTTCAGGATTTAATCAGCAGCAAAAAGGGTGGGCTGGGAGGTCCCGCCGCCCGGGAGGTAAAGAGGTTTAAACCTGACGGAGGAGTTAAGCGCCCCAAACGGGCCCATTTGATTTGCCAGCTGCCTGGGATTTGGGGGAATTGGGCAAAACCTTTCCTTCCCGGCCGGGGCTCACCTTTCCCCGGGAGGGAGGGTTTGGGGCAGGTTTTAATAATTTGTGAGGTTCCCTTCCTGAGCTTTTGTCTCTAAAGCCTGGGGTGGGGGGAAGGAGAGGGCTCTGCTTCCTCCTGTCACCCCCACAGATTCTTTTCTTTCTGGTTCTGTCTGGAGTGGACAAAGGAAACCAGTGGAGGCGCCGTGAACGTCTTCTCCTGACGTTTTGCTCGGCTCAAAGTTTGCTGTTGTTGTTTTTAATTCTTGTTGCTCCTGACTTTTCCCCCATTTCCTTCATGCTCCCAGGGACTGCGGCCTTACCCAGTCGGGCGGATCCTGGCCCACTTTTCTCCCTTTTTCCCAAGTGCCATGACACCCGCCCAGCGCGGGCACTCCCTGGTTCACGACTCAGGCGTGGAAAGCGGCGATGGTCTAGGGCAAGTCCCAGAGGTCGGGAGGCCCGGCTGGGTGGGTGCCCGCGGGGCCTAGGGAAGAGACTTTGTCTGACCGGAAGTGAGCCCAAGCGGGTGGACGTGTGTGTGTGTCCGTGTGTCCGTGTGTCCGTGTGTCTGTGAGCCGGAAGTGTGTCCAGACCAGCCTTTACCTGCAGAAGGGCCTTCACCGGAGGAAAGCAAGTCAGGAAGCAGCAGGTTGGAGAGGAAATTGGAGGTGAGGAAGGAGACAGCGAGTGTAGACAGGCACGAGTGTAGACAGGCCTTTCCAGAAGCCAAGAAGCCGGCTGGAAAGGAAAGAGAGAGACTGCAGGAGCTGGAAACGAAAGTCCAGTCAGGGGTTCGAAGGGGAGGGGGAGGGGCCAGCACCAAGGACGCTCCTCCCTTTGCAAGGCGGGAGGAGCTGGGGGTGCAGGTTCAAAGGTCCCTAGGACCTCTCTTGCCGCTTGACGACCCCCGTTCCCGTTGGAGGCGGGCATCCGGGCGGGACGTTGTCTGAGGTTCACATGAATGGAAAGGGCTGAGGGCCTCGCCAACAGCATAGGGGGCAGTCTCCGGAGTTACCCACTGGGGCAGCGCCCGAGTGGACCAATCGCAAACTCGCGGGGCCTGGGTTTCAGAGCTGACGGGACACACCCTCACGTGAGGGGCACAAACGGGCAGAAGAAGCTGCCCAGCCTCTGGGGGACAAGAGGCCACCAGCCACTCGCCAGCCGGCCCCCACCACCCAATCCACCAGCTGGGGGTGGGGGGGCCACTGTCCACCCAGCCCAGCCCCTCCGAGGAGGTCAGCGGGTTCTGTCTTGGTCAGACCATGCTGGCGGGCTGTGGTGGTGCTGGAGGAAGCCCGGGGCTGTGGTCACTTGCCTTCCAGGGGCTTTGCAGCCTCTCTGTGTCCCGTACCAGGCTGGTGGGCGGGCCAGGGCGTTGCCGGTCCAGAAATGTTTGCTGAACGAGCTCTCCTGGGTGGTGGTCTCTGGCCTGGGACATGTGGGGGCAGGCGGGGCCCTTAGAAAGTTCTCCTGGGGAGAACTGTGCCCCGGGATGGGGGTTGGCTGCCGTAGTTGCCTCCCAGGGGGAAGAAAGGAAGGAAGATGTGGGAAAGGAGCGACTTGTTCGAGGTCACACAGTCACGGTGAGGGTGGGCCGGTGTGGAGGGCAGGGGCCAGGCAGGCTGTGCCATTGTGAGATGTGATGGGGAATAAGTGAAAGTTGTGCGGGGGGGGGGGTCAGGGAGAAGAGGGGGGGCAGCTTGGGGTTGGGGCACGGTCAGAGACACCCTGGGTTCAACTCTGACCCCCTGATCTTGCCAATCAAGAACTGAATGCCAATCATCACTGAATGTCAGGGCGGGTGGGGAGAGTGTGTGGGGCCCCCGGGGCGGGGCTTGGTGGGGGAGCCGGGGTCCTCCCCCCTACCTGCTGCCCTCATTTGAATATGCACTGGACCTAGCCTCAGGGTCCCTACCTGTGGAGGGTCGTCTGCGTGCTGCGGGAGAACAGAGGGGTCGGGTGAGGGGCTCAGGGGTCTTTCACCAAACATTCCGGGAGTGCTCCGCCATGGCCGCCAGCCCCAGGCCGCCTGGTCTCATTCAATACTCACGTTGTCCCTGGAGGGTGCTCTTCTCACCCCCCGTACCCGGGAAGGACAGGGAGACCCTAAAGAGAGGACACATGCCTGGCCGCCGGGCTCACACTCATCCACCCTGAGTCTGACCCGCCAACGCGTAGCTGTGAGTCCCCTGGCCCTCAGCCCAGGTCCCCCTCCTGAGACATTCCCAAAGGGTCCTTCCAATTCAGGACCTGGTGGGGTGAGGGTCGGCAGAGCTGAGGAAGGCTGCCGCCCACGGGGGGGGGGGGGGACACTCCAGTGCACGGGCATGTTAAGGCAAGCAGAGACTTACAGGAAGGAGCTCAGAGCATCAAGGTGTGTGCATAGCAAAGGTGAAGAGTTAGCGGCCAATGCCCCCTCACTAGGGCCTTGGCATAAGCCTTGAGCCGAGAGGGACGGCAGAGAGGGGGTGAGTCCCTCCATCCTCTTCATCCCTCTGCGTCCTGCTGGGGGTGGGGGTCTGCAGGCCGCCTCTGTGCAGGGTGATGGGATCCAGGAGCTGGGGCTACTTGAGGCCTCTGTAATTAATTGATGCATAAATTAGTGAGGACCCTCCCCATACACACACACACACACACACACACACACACATGCACACACGGTTAATTAACAGCTAACAGCATGACAACTCAAACGGAAAGCTAAAATATAAAATTATCTTTTATTTGCTAATGGGTCTGGGGGTGATACCAGGAGGGTCGCGGGGTTGGGAGAGGGCCCCGCCCACCATGGGGACCCAAGAAGGGGAGAGGTACCATGATATCGCAGATGAGCAGCGGGCACCCGGCATCAACTTGGCATCTGGTGGTCACAGGTGGTCGCAGAAGACTAGATGGTGGATGGATGATGTCATCCCCGAAGACCCTATGCATGGGAGAGCCAGATCAGAGACCATCCTGATGACCCCTGATGGCCAGCGCAGGAACAGCAGAGGGATTGAGGGGGACATGGGAGCCGGCTGGGGGAGGGAGGGGCTGAGGGAGGTGGGAGGGGTGAGTGGGGAGAGGGAGGAGTGTGGTGAGGGAGGCGGGGCATGGGGGAGGAGGAGCATGGAGGAAGAGGGAGGGAGGGGCTGGGAGGGGAGGGGGAGCACGGAGGTAGAGGGAGGGAGGGGCTGGGAGGGGAGGGGGAAGAGGAGGGAGGGGCTGGGCGGGGAGGGGGAAGAGGAGGGAGGCGGGAGTGGGAGGGGAAAGGAGAGATGAGCCCAGAAGGGGAGGGGGAGGAGGAACGGGGGGGGGAGGAGGGGGGAGAAGTGGGAGGAGGAGGGCGGGAGGAGGAATGGGCGGGGAGGAGGGAGGAGGAATGGGCGGGGAGGAGGGAGGAGGAATGGGCGGGGAGGGGGAAGAGAGGAGGAAAGGGGAGGAGGAAGCCAACTGGGAGGGGGTAAGGAAGACTTGATTGACAGGGCACAAGTGTTCGCAGAGTGCGCATGCGCCACCCGAAGCCCGCTTGAGCGGGCCGCGCGCACTGACGACACGGACCGCTAGGTGGCGCGCCGCCAACACTTGGAGCCGGGCAGCCCAGCCACCTGCTGCGCACGCGCGTGCGCGCGCACAGACACACCCCCCCACCCCTCCACACACACACGCACACGCACACGCACACGCGCACACCCGCGCGCGCACGCGCACTGCAGGAGTCTCCTGCGCCCCCGCCCGCGCGGGGCCCACAGCTGCCAAGGCACAGCTGGCAGGGGCCGGGCGGGGGGCGCCAACAGGTCTCCGGCGGGAGCGGGGCCCACCCACCGCAGCCACTGCGCAGGCCCCCTCCCCGCAGGCCACTCCCACTGCACACTCCGAATCCACCTGTGGCCGCCAGGCAGCAGCCGCGCTCGGCCAGGGAGGGGGTCTTCTGCGCCCCCCCCAACTGTGAGGTCACTCTGCACCAAAACGACACCGGGCTGTCGTCCATGCGACGCCCACCGGGAGATCTTTCCAGAACGAGCCTCCACCTCCCCTAGGTGGGAGATGCAGAAATCCTGGCTCCAGCCCGCAGCGAGCCCAATTACACGTCAATTAATCACGATTTCTCAAACACCGAGTTCCTCAAACAGCATTTCCCCTCATTTGGGGGCAGGGGGGTCTCTGGACACACGATTCGGCATCGGTCCAAAATAACACCAAATTGCACAAAAGCGACGAAGACCGCCTTGAGCCATCGAGCCACACCGCGAGCCCCCCATTCGCCCCACCTCCCCCCGCAAGAATTTCCAGACCCCCGAAGACGCCCAATGAACCATTTCTGCAGCCTCTCCAGCCGGCTCGGAGGAAACGCACTTTCCTAAGACCCCCCACGCCCAAATCGACCGAAGCCCCCCAAACGGCGCCCCCGTTCCCGCGCGACACCCCCATTCCACGACGAGGGCTGCGCGCGGCAGCTCCACCCCGGGGTCCTGCGGCTGCGCCTCGGGACACCGGGGCTCCGAAATCGCTGCCCCTCGAGATAGACGCATCCAGAATTCTCCAGAAAACCCCTGGCTCGACCCCCTCCAGCAGAACAAAGGCCACCTCCCCTCCCCACCCCGCCCCCCAAAATTCCGCAGTGCCGCCGACGCCCCCTAGCGGCCAGCAGCAGAATCTCCCAGAAACCTGCCACGTAGCAACCCGCTCGCCCCCCCACCCCCCACCCAGCCCGCCTGCCCAGAGTGGGGAGGGGGCTGCGTGGAGAGGGGGGGCTTGACAGGGACAAAGGAAATGGCCGAGAGCGACCTTATCAAAAGTCAGGCGCCCTGAGCCTGTCAGAACCATCCAGCGATCGCCGAGCAAGCCCCGAGAGACCCCCGACCCCCCACTCCCAGCTTCCCGCGCCCAGATCTGCTAACACACCCCCTGCTCCCCCTCCTCCCTCCTCGTCAGACGCAAGGACGCGGCCTCCTCGGCCCCCACCCACCCGCGCTCCCGTGCACCCGCGCCCCGCACTGCCCGACGCCCCCTCGGCCGATCGTGCCGGGGAGGGGGTTTCCTGGGAAGCCCCCCCAGTGGGGCGCCCTCTCTCCCCACGATCGGGAGCGGGCCAGGTGCGAGCCGCGCCCACGGCGTGCGCGAACCTGCCGGGACTCTCCCGAGGAGGACCCTCCCGCCCACGGGCCACCGCGCCCGGGAAGACCCTCGGGGGCCGCCTCTCCCCCCACTTCATGGAGCGGGAGGGCGCCCCCGGCTCCGTCTCCCCCACCCTGCGTGACCCCCTCAAGGGGGCTCCACGCGCAGAAAACGGGGTGGCTTTGGACCCCGGTGGCTACGGCACACTGGACCCGGCCGGAGGAGGAGGAGGAGGAGTAGGAGGACCGTGCGTGGTCCTCCCGCGCCCCCCGCATCCCGCCTTGCCCAGCGGGCGAGGAGGACAAGTCCACCCGGGTGGGGGGAAAAATCAGAAATTCGTTTCTCTCTTAAGCAAGATCTCCGGGCGCCTGGCCGGCCGGCCGGCGGGCGGGCCGGCGTCGGGCAGGGCGCATCCCCGCGGCGCGCTCGGGCATCCTCGGCGGGCACGGCGGGCACTCACCCGTGGGAAGGCTCTCGCGGGCCGCGGGAGGCTCGCGGGCCAGGCGCGCTGCGTCGCCGCTCGCCGCCGTCTGCGCTAGGGGCCGGCTGGGTGGGGTTTATATGCCAGCGCAGAAGGGGTGGTCTCTGACGTCAGCGCATTCTGCTGCAATGCGCTCATTTCTCTAAAAATGATTGGCCGGAAAAATGAGCCCCCCAGATTCGATGACAAATTGCTCCAGCCGCACCCAGATTGCAGCAAAGAAGGGAGGGGAGAAAAAAAATTCTGCCGCAGTGGCCCCCTCGCCGCCATGGCTGGCACCCTGGGCCGCCCGCGCAAGCCCACGACCCCCGGGGGGCTCCGTGGGGGGAGGGGGTGCGTGCCGTGGAGGAGGGGTGCGCGGGGAAAGGGTGGTTTCCCGGCCGGGCGGCCCGAGGGTAGGACTGGGGCGCCCCGCGGGGTAGCAGCTCACTCCGGCTCTCTCGGAATATCCCTCCGAGGATGCAGTTTAGGGGAAAAAAAAACG